CACACACACACACACACACACATACACAAACACACGTGCGCACGCTGTACACACACAAACCACAGATACACACACACGCATACACACTCACACACTCACACTCACACGCACACGCACATACACATATGCATGGACAACAATAATATACACTAGAACACACAAAAACACACTCACTTATACAAGCCTAAGCAGTTGTACATACATACTTTAATACATCAACGAGTGATTATTACTGGCAGTTTATCAAGTAGGATTCATGACCTACCGCCATATTCTTTATAATTTTATGTAGTCAAAAATTTTCTTTTTAATGAATATGTGTTTCAAAACTTGGGTCATATTTTAAAGAAAGCATATTTTTGTTAAAGGATTTGAAGAAGAGAAGGCACCTAGAAGCGATTTCAGGCTGTTTTAGTAGACACCTGTAAGATTTACTTTGAAGTTAAGTACGAGTTTTATGGCGCTCTCAACTGCATGAGCTCATCGTATGAGAACGCAGATTTTCTTCATTTCGATCCGAGACACCAAACTGTCATAAGCACCATTACCTTTGTCTTGGAATTATTACGAATGAAAATTTAGGCTTTTTTCCATTGATAATACAATCACTAAAACACAAAAATTGTCTTGCTTTTTTCGATGATGGATTTAGATGTAGAGTTAAAAGTCCATTAGTTGTATAATGCAGAGTGGCATGTTAGTTAAACACATTATCACTACTATTTTGACGATTTTGGGACATGAGGCAATTTGGTTTCAAGGGTCATTTCAAGTCTAGTTTTAGTATCTATCTTGCACGCCAAATGCGCTGATCTGAATTTTGAAACACAAAAGGTTGAACTTTTCAAGGGAAGTTACACAGAAAACACAAGCACCAAAATTAGTACAGAGTCATTTCCCCTGAGGGGACCCCCTTTTTTTTATTGGATGGTACCATCTTGGGTTTTGTTGCAACACATTTGGCTCTGGTCATAATTTGGCAAGACTCTGGACTTCGATGCGCGAAACTGGGGTTTACAACTGTGTGAGGACACCCACCAGGTATTTGGATAGATTGAGCCCAGATCTGGTTTCTTTACTTAGCGATTAAGTTTCTATCTCCCTCCCCCCGTCGCCCAACTCATCATCCATACTTGTGTTGCCGAGAGAAAGAAATGTATCAGTAAGACAGATACAGATTTCTCT